ATAAGGATATGAGGATGAGGATGAGGATGGAGGATATGAGGATGAGGATGAGGGGATGAGGATGAAGATGAGGATAAGGATATGAGGATGAAGATGGAGGATGAAGATGGAGGATATGAGGATGGAGGATATGAGGATGGAGGATATGAGGATGGAGGATATGAGGATGGAGGATGAAGATGGAGGATGAAGATGGAGGATGAGGATATGAGGATATGAGGATATGAAGATGAGGATGAAGATGGAGGATATGAGGATGAAGATGAGGATGAGGATTTAGATGAGGATGGAGGATATAAGGATATGAGGATGAAGATAAGGATGAGGATATGAGGATGAGGATGGAGGATATAAGGATATGAGGATGAAGATGAGCACTCACAGCAGGTCCGGGAGCACCACTGGGGCCGGCAGGGCCGGGGGGACCGGCATCACCCTTGGCTCCAGCATCCCCAGTTTCACCTTTAGCACCAGGCTGGCCGTCGGCACCCTGCGGGACGGGGGGCGGGGGTGAGTCCGGGGGGCTCAGAGCCACCCTGGGGGGCTGCAGAGGACCCCCGAGCGGGGCTGGGGGGCGACCGGGCCATCGCACTTACAGGGGGGCCAGCAAATCCAGCAGGACCGGGAGGGCCGGGCTCGCCGCGGTCACCCTGGAGAAGAGAGATGGGAGGGGACAGCGTGAGACGAGCGGGCCACCGTGGCCACCAAGGAGCCGCAGGGCCATCAGYGAGGGTGGGGGACACTTACGGGAGCACCACGGGCACCGGTGGGACCAGCAGGACCGGGGGGACCGGCTTCACCCTGGAAAAAGGGAGAAAAACGGGAAAAAAAAAAGGGATCAGCGCTGTGGAGAGGAGGTGGCGGTGGCTGCGGGGACACATCTGTCACCGGGGAATGGCCCTACCTTGTCGCCAGGAGCACCAGCGGGGCCGGGGGGACCGATGGGACCGGTCAGGCCTCGGAGACCGTCCTTGCCAGGAGCGCCATCAGCACCTTTGGGACCGGGGTCACCCTGCGGGAGGGACACGAGAGGGGGTTACGGGGACAGGACCCTTGTGGGGTTCTCTGCAGTGACATCCCGGGATCTTCATCCTCCCTGGGACGGGCTGGGACCATCCTCATCCTCCTCCTCACACGAGTTGGGCTCTCATTGAGGGATTGTCCCCAGCGGTTGGGGACAGAGGTGACACTGAGCATGACTGTCCATCCTCCTTGGCTTGGGGACACGTCCAGCCCCGCGGGGGACACGGGGATGGCGCAGGTGACCAAAGGGGACACGAGGAGGGTTTGGGGACACGTACTCTGTCACCCTTGGCGCCTGGCAGGCCGGCAGCACCGCGCTCTCCGGGCATGCCCTGCAGACCGGGGGGACCTTGGTTCCCGGGGGCTCCGGGAGCACCGGCGTCACCCTGGAACAGAAAAAAAACCAAAAAAACCCAAAAAAAACAGCGATTAGCAAAATCCCGGAGTGGCAAATCCATCCCGCCAGCCCGAAGGGGTGAGGACACAGCCAGCCACTGTCACAGCTGCTCCCCACAAGTTGGGGACAGTCCCCGACAGTGCCAGCCTGGCACCCACCTTAGCACCATCGTTACCGGGAGCACCGTTAGCACCGCGAGGACCTTGGGGACCGGGGGGACCTTGGACGCCGCGTTCTCCGGGGAATCCTCTCTCACCCTGCGGAGGGGAGGCAGGAGAGGGCCCCGGGCYGTCAGGGGGGCTCGGGGCACCTCGGGGTGCCSAGACCCCAAAGCGGGGATCCCAAARWGTTCAACTTACCCTGGCACCAGCGGGACCGGGGGCTCCGGCGTCTCCGGGGACACCCTGAGCGGGAGGGACACGGGGACAGAGTCAGACGGGGACAGGGGACAGGCAGAGGGGTCCCCGGGGTGTCCCCAGGGTGCCCCATTCCTTGAGGTTCACACTGCTCCCCCACAGCACGGAATGGGGCACACAGAGTGTCCCCTCCCTGGGGCGCTGGGGAGGGGACAGGAGTGTCCCCAATTCCCGCACACTCACCTGCTCACCGGGCTTGCCAGCCTCGCCAGGGGGGCCAGCGGGACCGGGCAGACCCTGGGGAGGAACAAGAGGAGCCGTGAGCCACCACGGAGGGGACCAGAGAAATGTCACCCGCACCGCGGGTGATTTGTCACCCTGCCGGGGAAGGGGACACCCCTCACCTGGAAGCCTGGAGCACCGGCGGGACCTTGTTCACCTCTTTCTCCAGCGGGACCCTGGGGGACACAGGACAAGCATGGAGAGGGGCAGGTGGCTACCGAGCCCCTTGTCCGGTGGCCGCGGGGTGGGCGATACTCACGGTGGGGCCGGGGGGACCTTGGGCACCGGTTTCACCGTCTTTGCCAGCAGCGCCCTGGGCAGGAGGGAGAGGAGGAGGGTGCTCAGAGCGGTGTCCCCGCGGGGCTCTGTGTCCCCTCCCCGGCCGGGCGGGGACCTGGACGCGRCCGCGGGATCCTTCGAAGGCCGGGAGTCACCGCGGCCAGCTGCCCGCGGCCACGTCAGCGCCGCCGGTAGCCACCGGGACGGGATCCCAAACACCTCATCCCGGCCCGGAGCCTGCGCTGGCTCCGCTCGGACACCTCGCACCTCATTCACACCTCGGGGACACTCTCCCTGTCACCTCACAGCGGGGTCACCCTCCCTGTCACCTCCCCCGCGCTGTCGCTGCCCCACCCCGCACTCACCACGGCGCCGGGGGGACCGGGAGCTCCTCTCTCACCAGGTTTGCCGGGTTCGCCCTAAAAACGGAGCGGGGTGAGCCCGGTGAGCACCACCGGGGAGCGGGGGGACCCTGCAGCGGGCAGGGTCACCCTCGGGGGTCACCCGGGGAGGGTGGCACTCACCGCAGCACCTTTGGGACCAGGGAATCCCATCACACCGGCCTGGCCTCGGGCTCCGGGGGGACCGGGGGGACCGGGGCGACCGTCTTGGCCAGCGGGACCCTGTCGGGGGGAGCCAGCGCCCCGTTAGCTGAGCCCATGGAGGGCCAGGGGAGGAGGGGACATCAGCGGGGACATCAGCGGCGACAACTTACGGGGGGGCCAGTCTTGCCGTCGGGACCGGGGCTACCGGGGCTTCCAGTCAGACCCTGCGGGACAGCGGGAGGGGGGTCAGGAATCCCAGGAGATGCTCCGGACAACGGGAGCGGCCTGGAAAGCGGCTCCTCCACCGGCGCACAGAGCRGGAYGGCTCCGTGTCACCGTGTCACCGTGTCACCGCGTCGCCGCATCACTCGCTCACCTTGGCGCCAGGGAGGCCGGGTTCCCCGGGGCGTCCAGCTTCACCAGGAGATCCTTTRGGGCCGACGGGGCCGGGGGAGCCGCGCTCACCGGGGGGACCCTGCGAGGAGGGGACAGGGGTGACCCGGCTGCGGGCACCGGGACCGGGACGGGGACAGAACCGCGTCACCGCGGGTGGCGGCGACACAGAACCCGCTGTGTGGGCACAGGGGACAGTGCCCGCAGTCCCCAAGGTCCTTCTGACGCGATTTTGTCTTGCAGAAGAACGCGGGCACTCACCTTGGGACCRGCGATGCCATCAGCGCCAGGGAAACCGCGGCTGCCGGGAGCGCCCTGCGGGGGACACGGCACGGTCAGTGCGGGGACAGCGCGGGGACAGCGCGGGGACATCGGGGGTGCAGGGGAGGGAGGTGCCACAGCGGGACGAGGCCACCAGTGAAAGGGCCGGGGATGTCACCGCAGTGTCCCCAAGCGATGTTCATGCGCTGGACACGGGGGGATGGCAGGAGGAGGACGGGGATGGCGACAAGGACACCGCTACTCACGCGCTCGCCAGCGGGACCGGGCAGCCCAGCGGGACCGGGCTCACCGCGGGCTCCTCTCTTGCCTTCCTCGCCAGCGGGGCCGGGGGGACCTTGGACACCAGCGGGACCCTGGGGAAGGAGGAGAAGGGATGAGGACCCCCAGRAGGGGCCGGAGCCGCCAGGGACCGCATCCCCGGGGGACATTTCGGGGGCCACCCCCGGGGACATTTCGGGGTGTCACTCACGGGTTCGCCTTTGGCACCGGTGTCACCCTTGTTGCCTGGAGCGCCGGGCTCGCCCTGCGAGGGAAAGAAGAGGAAAAAAGGAGTTTAATGCCGAATTGAGGAGCGGAGGAACCCCCGAGCCGCGTCCTGCTGAGCCCTCGGGKGGACAAGAGCTCAGCATCGGGACAGGGATGGAGGGGACACCTAAGGGACACCTCCAGGAGCTTCCTGGAGCAGAGGGAAGGATCCAAACCCGGCGAGAGGCCGCTGCGGGAGCCCGGGGGATACTCACGGTGTTACCCTTGGGACCGGGGGCACCGCTGGGACCCTGAGGACCGGAGGGACCGCGGGCACCGGGGAATCCGGGAGCGCCAGCGATGCCGGGAGCGCCCTGCGAGAGGCACAGGAGGCGGTGAGGAAACAACGCCGCTTCCTCCCYGCGTGGAAAGGGACACGGGGGACACTGGGGACACTCACGATGGCGCCCTTGGCACCGGGTTGACCGTCAGCGCCGGGGTTGCCCTGCGGAGAGAAGGAGGAAGAGGAGGAGGAAGGTCACGGCGGAGCCGGCGGGAGGCGAGGCCGAAGGACGGGGAGCCCTCGGGGGTCACTCACAGCGGGACCGGCGGCTCCAGCAGGGCCGGGGGGACCGGGCTCGCCACGGGCACCTTGGGGACCTTCGCTGCCACGAGCTCCCTGGGGACCGGTCTCACCCTGGGGAGGAGGAGGAGGATGAGGAGGAGGAAGAGCCGTGAGCGCCGGGGCTGCGCTGACCCCGTTCCACCGGGGGCACGGCCGGGACAGTGCTCGGGACACGGCTGGGGATGTCCCCAAGTGTCCTTCTGTCCCTCGGCACTTGGGCCTCGGCCACTCCTTCCCTTCCCTGCCCCCTCAGTGCCCACCAGTCCCTCCCAGTGCCCTCCAATCCCTCCCAGTGCCCACCAGTCCCTCCCAGTGCCCACCAGTCCCTCCCAGTGCCCACGGGACTCAGTCCGGCCCTACCTTAGCACCAGCGGCACCGGGGAAGCCGGGGGGACCAGCGGGACCAGTTGGACCCTAAATGGGAGAGAGGGGGCGAGTCAGAGGGGGGGTCCCGACCCCACCCCACACCTGGCACGGGCCAGGATTTGTCATCCAGGGGAGCCGGGGTGGGATCTCCATCAACGGGATCTCCCTCAATGGGGCTTCCCCCATGAGATCTCCAGGGGGAACCCATGTTCTTCAATGGGGTCTCCCCAATGGGATCACCCCTCAATGGGGTTTCCCCCAGTGGGGTGTCCCTCAATGGGATCTCTCTTAATAGGATCTCCCTCAATGGGATCCCTCCCAAAGGGATCTCCCTCAATGGAGTTTCCCCCTATGGGGTCTCTGGGGGGGACCCATGTTCTCCAATGGGGTCTCCAGAATGGGATAGCCCCTCAATGGGGTCTCCCCCAATGGGGTGTCCCCCAATGGGATCTCCCTCAATGGGATCTCCCTCAATAGAATCTCCCTTAATGGGGTTTCCCCAATGGGATTCCCCTCAATGGGGTCTCCCCTG